TATATATATATATATATATATATATATATATATATAAATAATATACACACACACACACACATTTTTTTTTCTTACTTTGGCAAAGGAAGCTGCAGAGGGACACAGTTGAAGCTTAAGTTGCAGAGTAAAATTTGGGTTTAACATCTAGTTTAATCCTTTCTTTGCAGGGGATAGGGCAGAAGGGGCTGAGAACAAGACAAGCGACAGAGTGAACAAGAACAGGAGCAGCAACAGGAGCAGCTCCACTGAAGGGCTGGCTTTGGATAACCGGCTGAAGCAGCTCTCCCTTCAGTGCATGAAAATCAAAGAGGGAATATGCGCAGGCAGAAAAGCTGCCCAGATTGGCTGAGTCCTCCTTGTGCCCTGTCCTGATTAATGGGGGTATAAATATTTATACATGAACTTCTAAGTGTTTGAAGAACATTGTGCCAATAATATATGCCAAATCTTAAGCGTTTAAGAATTTAAAACTGCACTAAGAAGTCTAATTGATGTGGAGGGCTGAAGTTTTTATTCAGTAAATCCTTTGTAGGCTGGACAAGTTATCAAATGTTTAAGCTGTGCTCCTATTTCACAGACTTGTAAATTGTTTTGTAGCAGCCTGGCTGAAGCAATAACTCGTTATGTTCCTGTGTAAATTCATGCCAGAAGGGGGTCTGAAATTCAAGCCAGACATTTGCAGAGGGCGGTTTGGCTTCGGTTTTGTAGAATGAAATGCTCTTTAGATACAGTGGATCTCTTGAGTATAAGTGGCATATACTTTAAACATCTGTATTTGTCTGTATTATGCTGAAACTGTAGAAATATTTTGTATACAGGAAAGCTGTTGCATGTGTGGGGTCTAAAAGCCTTCACTCTTCCCTTGGTGCTCACAGAAAGGGTAAAGATGAGTCATGCCTATAAAAACGGGCGGCAAGAGACAGACAGACAGACAGAGAGGGGGCTGCTAACGCTCAGTGGTGGTAGGCCCTTTGTAGCCACCTTCCTAAGTCTGTCTTGGACTCCGAGGGTGATGCCAGTGACCAAAAAGAGTTGGTTGGCCCCTTGCCCTTCCCCTCCCCTGAAAAGTGAAGTATTATTTTTCAGCACTTTAAGTGTTTTTTTTCGCTCAAAAATGGGAGTCATAGATGTTTTCAGGACCGTTATGATAAGGGGTTTGCCCTTGAAATATGCATGAAGAAAAGGAATTGCCAGTGTAGATTGACGATGTGTTCTTAAGTTTCCCCGTAGGTTGTACTGTGTGGGGTTTTATAACTGTTAAAGGGACTTGGGATTTTAGTATGCACTAGAGAAAGTGTTCAATAAGACTAGAAAGGGCACAGGCATGTTTTGCCAGCAGCTGTTAGGCAGTAGTAGTGTCTGGTAATTATGCTAATAAGTGGTAGTAAAAATCCTAGGACTCTTCAGTTTTGGTGGCTAAGCATTTCTGAAAGCACCATTTTATCTAAGATGTCAGTTTATATTGTTAATTTGATGGGAATTTTAGTATTGCCCCCCAAGTATTTTCTATTCTATGCTTTTGCAGTCCTGTTGTATTTTGTCCCTGCCACAGCTTGTGTATCTATTCTCAAAGTTAATGTAAAATTCTTCACACTACAGTAAACGTTTTTGTTTTCCACATTTTGACTCTGTGCAAGCTAAGTGTATCTCAAGTGCTAAGAACTGAATCTTCTGCAGCAAGTTTAGTCTTTAAATACCCACTTCCAGTCAAAGACTGCAGCCTGCTGTTGCTCTTTGGCATTAGATTCCTTTGCAGTATGTTACCTCCTTCCAGCTTCCTGAATCCCTGCATCCACGGTTCACTTTTTTATTCTGAACTGTGTGAGATCATAGCGTTGGTCAAGTTTTCCAAAATCCCATGGTATGCAGGAGAGGAAGGCATTTCGTTACTGAACACCTCTGTACTTAATGCTGCTGAAATCTGCTGTAAGGCCATGCAGAACTGGAGGTAAAGAAACTTGTTTTCATAAACATTAGATTCAACACACTGTAGCTTTTAAGCTCTAATAGCTTTAAATATTTATATATTTACATCTTCTGAAAGACTGAACTCTGTCACTACTAGCATTTCCCAGCCCCATAAATGCTTAGGAAAGAAGTCAGCAGTTCCAGCTCCTGGTATGACCATTACTTGGGGAAAAGCTGGGATTGACAGTATTAAATATGAAATGAAAAGCAGTAGTAGTGCCACGTTGTATTAAATGCTTAAACTTCTGTAGTTAAACTACTGTCTGTGCTGTATACAGTTAGAGAAATTAGCAGAGGTATGCGTGGCTGAGTATCTTATTTCTGCAGACTTGCCAGTCACCCCTATTCCATTGTTCTGGGTTGTTTGGATGTTTTTTTGATGGGGTTTGCTGTGTGTGTGGTTGGTTACTTTTTTTAACCTCTCTCGTGTGTGATCAGATTTCCTCTCATCTTGCCAGTTCTGAATAGAAACCCTAGAAAACTCCCTAGAAAACACTGCATTTAGGCAGTAAATTAATTTCATATTCATCAGGATATAAAAATAGCTGTGTGCGTTGCCTTGCACACATCCTGATTGGGTCCAGCTCCCAGCAAGGCAAATCCAGTGATCAGGAAGTACGAAGGGTGTGGAACTCACCACACCCTTACTTTTACACCACACTTCTGCAAGATTTGTTTGAAGATCTCCCTGAAGCCTTCTTCCTTTGACAACCGCCAGGCTCGGCAGGTAAGTCACCCTTCAAACATGCAAGCAAATAGGCACAACTGTGTGTTTAATAAATTAATGGAAAACTCATTTTATTTTAAACTTCATAAAAGCTGTAATTATGACAAACTTAAATGAACATACAGTTCTAGGGAGTACAGGCAAACGAACAAGCTTTCTCCAGTTACTTTTCTGTTGGAATTCTTTATGCATTCTGAAGTGTAACACAATGGTAGCTGCCTTCATGGGTATAAAAATAAGCCTCTGGTGTATCAAAGTATATGTGATCAGTTCAGCTGCCCTGAAGTGAGAATGTATGAAGCGAATGTTAACCTAGGAATTCTACTTCTCTTTGGTATTATCAAACAGTTTAAATGGCCTTTTTGCCTAAGCGATGAAAACCTCTACTATCTGTGCACAAACTTAATTCCAAATAGCTGCTGTTCAAGCACCACAGAGATGGTGTGGTCAGGTGTGTAATTACTGTACAAAACAGTTACAGAAAACCTCGGCTGAATGTCAGACTCTGGGGGCAGATGGGGCAGAAGCTGTTGATACCATTCACCCACGGTACCGCCTCTGACAGAGGCTTTGGGAAATGGGTGGAGCCAGGGGCTGACCTATGTCACCCTAACCCAACCAAACTGATGGGGGGGTGTTTGGGTGGGGTCTCACCCTGAGCTATAAACAGCAGCATTAAAGCTCCATACAAGACCCCATAAAGTATGACTAAAAAAAACAACCCCCCAAAAAATAGAGAAAAGGTTTTGCAGTGCCTAAATAAGGAGAATGTCAAAACTTCTGAAGAGGCTATCACCTCAGTTATCCCTCTGCACCACTGATCAAGAATTAAAAATAATTTCTTTGTAGTAGTCTTCCCTTAGTGAATGAAAGAAAATGTAAATCCTCTTAAAGCCCCTTACAGCAACTGGCTTTCATTTTGTCACTTAACCCCCTTGGTCTGTAGCTCAGAACTGCGCAGTTTGTTACAACAACTTTAGGAGCGCAGGATGCCCAGTGGTGTATTTTATGAGGCTTTGTATTTTAACATTTGAAAGCTTGAATTGCTTGTTTACAGGCAGAGAAGACTTAAGGGTCAAGAGGTGCATGACTGACTGTCTGGAAGTAACACGACTGATGTACCTGTGGTACAGGCTGAGCTGTTGTACAGCTACTTCAATTTTTGTACACACATGCCTTGTAAGTCTTCTGCATAACACTTCCGTGCTTACATCAGCATCTAATATTCTGTCATAGGGATCAAAAATGCTACATAGTGTAGGGGAGAAAAAAGCTTAACCTACCTCTTGGTCTGAGGCGGTGTTATAAAATCTAAGGATCAGTTCAGTCTTCAATAATTTTTCCAGATTTATTTGTTGAAAAAATATATTCATTTGACAGAAAATATCAAAGCAAGTATTAAGTGCTTACATGAACAATTTTTCCCTAAGAAAAAGGGGCAAGAAAATTTTGTTGTAAAATTACTTTGCCGCAACCAGAACCTGCAGACTTTTAAGAATGTTTTGCGTTTCCTTTTAAACACTCCACCTGTGTGTTCTGTCTTACATCTGAAGGGTGAGGCACAGCGATGGTATTTCAGGTAGCTTGTGTAGCTGCAGTGTTTGAACAGGACCTGCCTTATAAAGGGCACTGAGCAGTTATCCGGTGTAGTTACAGGGATGAGCCCAATCCCCTGACTGTACTGTATGTGTGTAGGAAGTGTGAGCATATCCTGGCAGGGACAGGATCCTTTGTCCTTAATGCCTTTCTCTGGCATTGAGCACATTCCTTGCTTTTAGTTCAGTGCAGTATGGAAGTTGAGCCTTATGCTCGTTTCACCCAGCATAAGCTTTTGGCACAAACTTGTGCCTGGGAGAGAAAAAAAACCAACAAAAACCCCTTCCTGAAGAGTAGAAATCAACTATAGAAGACCAACAACAGATTGTACTGTAGGCAAGTCTACCAGCTTGTTCTCAAACAGCTGAGGATGTGCAATAACTCAGTACTGAAAGCTGGCAGTTCTGGCATCTGCCTTTTGTACTGTCAAAAACAAACTTAGTTGAGATTTCCTAACTGCCTCTCACGTCTTAGGTGATAAAATAGATGCAAGACTCTACTGCCACTCTGCTTTAGCCTGAGCTAAAAACTTAACACAAATTTGTAGGGAAAATGTGAGTTAAATGAAATTTTAATTCTGTAGGGATGAAGCAGTCCTGGGCACATATTCCCACAAGTCAAGGATAACTACAAAGAACCCAATTTGTTTTTTTGCTCAGTTTGTGCCCATGCTGCTCCCCCTGTTGATTTGTTGCAATAATCATCAGAAACTTCCTTGCAAAAGAAGGTAAGTCGAGTCAATACTGACAAACCTGTCACAAATCTCCTAGCCCAGATGGTCTTAAGAGAGAACTGCAGTTCTAAGGTGTTGGTTTTAGTGCCCTTTGAAAACTGGACCTTTCTTAAACAGCTGGCTGATGAAGGAAATGAAACAAAAGGATTTTGTACTTTCTGGAGAGGGCTAATAGAAGTCTGCTATCAGAAGATTTTTAGCCCACAAATAATATTTCTGGTGCTCCTGTAGCACATGTGCTCATTTCCCAATGACCAAATGGCACCTGGGCTCTAAAATAAGATTTAAATGCTACTTTTTATTTGGAAAACTGCCAAACTAACCTGAATGGCAAAGAAATTCCTATGGCTGTTTTAAAAACACCCTCTTCCCCCAACTATCAAATATAGTGGAATTTTAAGGCTGTCCTTTTTACAAAGGCAAAAAAAAAAAGTATTTAAATTAAAAACTCATGTTATCTTTAATCCTCTTCAGATATAAAGTATATAGATCTTCTAGAGGAAGAGTACACACAGCAGGCTTCTAAAGAGAATCTTGTTCTGCAGTAATCCCACTTCTGCTGTGTTCTTAAGAACTCTGACTCTTAATGACACTAGCCAAGTGCTCAACTCATTCACTGGTTTCAACTTACATGAAAAAAAGTACCTTTGCAAATAAGTCTTGCATAATGGGATCAGCAAGTGCAGCTGTGGTTTATTATGGGGAGAGGTTTAAATGATCCTTGCCCTACAGGCTGAGTACTTATGAAAATGACAAGAATAAAACATTTCTTAGCTGGGATGCTGGTGATGGGTAGTTCCCTACCTCCTCTCACCAGCAAATGAGGCTATCTCAGTAGATACAGGGAATCTTACAATGCAGCTTCAGATGAAAACCTTCCCCACCTGCTATACGCAGGCTGTGCTGCACTGTCTGTATGCTACTGCTGGCTCATCTCTTCTTGCTGCTGATCTGCATCAAGCAGGTCTTGCAGCCAGTAGGAGGAAAGCCACAGTGCCTTGTGCTGTAATGTTATGTGCTAAAGTAATTCAGACATGAAATAACAGCTCTCAGAGTACATGTAAGATGAGTGAAGACATTTTTTTTTCTTTTAGAAACAGCTAAAGCTGAAATCTTCCTTTTCCTTTACTCCTATATACATATTCTAGATAAGCTGAACATGTTAGTCTGGAATACTACATGCTCAGCAGTAGTAAGTTTACATTTAGATGTGAGAACTAGTTCAATGCTGAAAACATTTAAGACAGCAGCACAAATATGTAGTAAAAGCTATTTGGTCCTGAGGCTGAATAAGCAGAATACACAAGAATATTTCTTTCTTACATGTTTACTTTTAAGAATAAAAAAAATATTAAACCCACATACCCTGTGTTCTGGGAGAATTTCAACGCTAGTTTTTCTCTTAACTCACTAGACTGTGATTTGAACTGTGGAAAAATTGCAATAAATTGAGTTCTGTCTGTTCATTTGAATAGAAGTATTTAGCCCATTCACAAGCCTGTTGAGCAGCACTCACTCCAATACCATAGCAGCAAAGCTCACAGCTGTCCACCACAACTAACTGGCCATCGGTGATTCCATGCTTTTGGCTACAACTTAGGATGTCATTTTTTATTATGCATATGTGTAGTAAGAGTTATTCACCTGTTCTCAGGCTCTAGGACAGATCAAACCCAACTCAAACAGTAATGCATTAACCCGGCTCCTCACTGCAGCTGTGATACCTTAAGAGAAGTAGCACTGTTAAAGTCTAAGAAAAAAGGACCCTCTTGTTGAGGCAAGAATGTGGTTGGGATAATGTTGTAAACTCCAGCAAATACGTTCTCCACTTCCAAGTAGCAAAATCCACACCTATGATAAAAGAAACTGTTAGAACTAAGATCTGAAATACATTTCAAACCTCTAAGGCTTCATTAAGTGAGTATTACCTGTAGTCACCACTGCTCTTTTTCTGAAAGCCACAGGAAGCAGGATCTCCTACTGTTGAGACTGTGACAAGTTCAAAACCAACACTGTATTGCCTGCAAGTGAAATGGCAGGCTTAGTTATTTGGGTCATCAGGATTACTAGGAAGAGGGCCATTTATTAAAAACTACCAGTATAACTGGAAAACATCTAAAAATTTTGTTAGATTTGTGACAGAAGCATTAAGTCAAACTTACCATGCCATAAATGTAGAATTTGGAGGAAGACAGAACACATTTCGGGTTTGAAACTAGACTACATAGAAAATGCCTGCTCGAAGTCTGCCTCTGCATTTGAGTGGACTGAAGTAGTTAAACTTGTGGTGGCACCGTCCTGTACCACAGATCCTGGGGTGTAATCTGATTGCTGTCAGAGGAATCAGTGTTGGTGATCTCAGCACAATTTCTCATGTTGCACTATAACTTAGGACAGTTTGTCTAATACCTGTTAAAGCATGTGATAGGCACCACTGCCCCTGACATTCAAACTACCTAAATATAATCTACAAGTGCAGAAAAAATTGCATATAAAAAACTGCTCAATTAGTGGAACAGTATAGCTGCACCTTTGCCATTATCTTCCATTTCCTGAGAAAGGCTTTCCACAAAGGGGAGAGGATGGCAAGAAAAGTGCTGCCATTTAGTGTGGCCCACCGTATAGCTTTGCAAAAGGTAAACACTTGACTGAATGTCAGGAGATGTTGCTATTTAGAAGCGCTCTATACTGGTAGTTTGAGGTAGAATGTTAATTTTGCCAAAGAAATTTGACGTGTAGTTCTGCTGACATCCAATACTTCTCCTGGCCTGCTGGTGGCAGAGTAAAATGCACTTTCAGAGCTAAAGGTGCTGCATAGGCCGTTGTCTGAGAGGCTGTCGGGGTTTAATATCCTGCATCTTAGCTCTATTACAAAAGGAATTATGATCGTCATTATTTTTAAGGGGAAGAAAGTCCTTTGTATGTTCTTCCCTCCTGTGCAAGGCCTAGCTCTGCTCAGACCCCAAAAGTAAAGATAAAGAAGGCTGCTGCTTTCCTTGTAGGCCACAAATTTCCTCAGCAGCAAATGCAGAGGTTTAAATCAGTATTGCTGGTGAAGTTAGACATGTACATAGTACTAAAGCTGAGCCACCTCCCTTATCTTGTCATGGATTTTCAGGGAGCTTCCCACCCTCCCCACAGAGGATACTGAGCTTTAGCACGTCACGCTCTCGCTGTATTGATGCACACTTATTCTCTACAAACCTTGGTCCCCGTAGCTCAATTAATAAGGGCCCATTCTTGTCCAGTTGGAACTGATAAATGGGGTTATTTTTGTAGGTGTCTCTGAAATTTCCACATCCTCCAGCACTGTGACCTTTCCACTGTCCATTAACCTGAAAAGTCAAAATGCAGAAAATACTTAATAGCCTGAGGGTTTGTATTGCTTATTTATACACACAAACAAGATTAGAGGCTCCTCTTGCTTTAGAAGTCACTGACTTTAGTAATCTCTCCTAATTTTTAAGATACAAATGAAAGACTGTGTTCAGTAAAGTTGCAGTGTTCAGTAAAGCATTCAGAAAGTTTCACTGCACTCCTCCACACACCTTGATCAAAGCCTTAGCTCCCTTAGAAGTGTATTCTTGCAGCTTATATTAAGTAAGTAACAAGTGACTGTTTCTGACAAACTGCATCTAACAGAACATCAGTATTCCCATCTATCCCATGACTACTGGACTTCTTTTTTTTTTCCTTCCCGCTCAGACATTCCTCTGTTGCTCTAAATGAGAAAAACCAGTGGTATAGGAAGTACAACACTACTTGTGTTGTAACCTTTGCTTTTGAAATCGCTGCCTCCAGCCCTGTCCATTCACCTCTAGGCACTGAGAACCAGCAGTACAGAGACAAAATACATGTAAGGACAGACTGTGCAAGGACAAAGACATACAAGAGGAAAAATGCTGCTCAGACTTTGAGAAACAGGCCATCTGTTTGCAAGTTCCTCCTGCTAGTCACTAAACTGAAAGGTTAGACTTGTAAGACATGCCAGGCATTCACACATATTTATAGCTGAGATCCATTTCTCCTGTTACCTCCCTCCCCTTTCAAACCAGTAAGGAGCACATTTTTTTCTTGTGATTTAGTTTCTTTACTCAGTGTCCAAAAGCCTCAAACATGGCAAGTTTGGAAACAAGGGGGAATTCTCCCCCACCGTGCTACTTCCCAGGAAGTAAAACTGCTGTTAGCTTTCCAGGCCTTTTCCGCCTCTGAAGCACTTTGTTCCAGGAATCCCCCTGGGGCTTAGTGAGCTCCAGAGGTGACCACTCTAGTATAAGACATCTAACAGAACTTGCTTTTACTGGTAAACTATGAATTCTGCTTGGTTTTAAGTGTGATGACAGCTAAGCAAGTGTCAAATAAGCATTAGGCACGGGCAACTAACTTTTTGTATTGGATCATGAAGATAGAGCTTGCCTTGGATAGATAGAACATGCCTTTGAATACTAGACAGGCATCTTCAAATAATTAACAGGAGGTTTCCACATAATTTTCTTTTGAAACATAATACAACATAAAACTGCCTCAAACAGGCTGGTCATCTTCCATGAGGTTTTTGACCTCTTAAAGCATTCCCCCAGACTAAGCCCAGTTTTTAAGAGCTAAGAAGGAACAACCAAGCACATCATCTCACTGTTCCCAGGAATCTCTCTAGGCTCTCACTGTTTTCCAGAACAAGCTGGCCTCAAGGGGCTGTTCCAGAAATAACAGCTGATATGAAACACTGTCTGACCTCACGAGCCTAGCTGCAAGCCAGCGTGTCCCCCCCTGACCACACAAGTAACATAATCCTTGGCGTCCTAGGAAGTGGAGTGTTCCACTGTGGCTCCAAGCAGAGCCCTATTTCTCTCTTCCCAAAGAAGTTACTGTTTGGACAGAAGACTTCTGCCTATAGTAGGATTCCCCAGGGTATACATGGTAGGTACAGAGCTTAAAGTTAACAGCTACTGGTTTATTCTTTCCGGAGGATAAAATTGCTAATAGATGAAAATACATGCAAGTTACTTTATCCTGTGAGCTCTTGGCTATATTTATACTTTAGATGAAGGTGTAACTGCAGCTCACGTTGACAGCTGAAATACAAACAGCAGCTGGCCCCCAAACTGCCTGGGCTTCTGACTTAATTTCAGTCAAGTTTTTTTGCTCTTGCCCCTGCTGCTGTACTCTCAGGGAACACTTCTACATCAACTGTACAATGAGTATGTTGCCCTGATCCTGTGCGTCAATATGAGTGCTCATCCCAATGGATACAGACTTTTGAGACGTCTTCACAAAATTTAGAAACCGTAATGTACCGTGATATTGCCATTCTAAGGCCATTTGTCACAGTCACACTAGTGGTGCCTTTGGTTTGTTATTGCTGATTTTGTCCCATCATGCCAAGAGTTTTTTTTCCAAGAAAATCATGCAATTCTCTCAAGGGAAAACGAGCAACACTTTTGCAGGGTTTTTACCCTGCAGTAGCACTTGCACAATCTGATCCCTGCAGAATAATTACATATTAGGGCAGAGCTTGTTAGGCCAGTCTATCCTACAAAGGCTTTACAGTGTACCTGCTATGGTAGAGCTGTAACGATACCCTTCTGCAATGAAGGTGGAACTTACGTACCAAAAGGCAGTGGAAGTTAAGGCACCATCCACACAGAGTGGTGTGAACAAAGGGAGACAGCCCAAGGACTTGTGTGTTGGTATGAATTATATTAACACACCTAATTGTGGGGCACATCGTACTCAACTTGAGTACAGGATTGGTCTTGTGCTAATGATGCTCAGAATAAGCTTTAGTTAAGAAGTTTCATTTGTTAGAATATGGCCCAAGCTGTCATTTTTGAACAGTAGTATAAAAGTATATTTAAAAACCTTGTACATCTCAAATACAGAAAAGCCAAATCAGAAATATCATCCAGTGACTCATAAAAGAAAAGATTTCTTTACCCGTTTGGAAATGGTGTAAGGTGTAGGAATCTTGGAAAAGGTGAACTTGCACAAGGAATACACCTGTGTTGTAAAATAAGAAGCTAGTCACACATTCATGTTGCACTTTTCAAAAAAAAAAAAAAAAAAAAAAGGAGAATTGCCTACACATCATTTTTAGATACTTGTTCACTACATGCCTATATTACTCATTTGATGACCCCATCTGAAACTCAAAATCCAGAACAGTGCTGGGACTAACAAGACTTAGTTTTACTTAGTTTTTCTTTAAAAAAGCAAAATGGAAACAATTTGAATTTCACTTTTTTCAGTATCAAAAGACAGACATCTGGCATTGATCATCACATGACTCAGCAGTTACAGTGAAACCCAAACACTGAGTCCAAGAACTTAGAGAAGTCAACGAACCTTAAATCTTAACTGGGATCTAAACCAGGCTTAATTTAGATACATAGAGCCACCGATGCTCTGCCTGTACACAGATACTAATTTTTTATTCTAAGAAATAAAATTATTTTTTAGCTGATTTCATTACTAAAATTTCATTACTAAAAACCACATACACTGCATTGTCTTAGCTACAAATGGAGAACATTATCAAATGCTTCATCCAGTGGTTCTGCTCTATCACTCATAGCCTCCCTCCCCAAAATAACCCTATCAGTCCAGAAGTACGCTTATCAAACTTACAGAAAAAGAACACTTTATAGTTTCACTGTTTACAATCATTATGAAACCAACAGTACATACCCTGATGGTGTAATGAATAGTGTTTTGTTTCTCATACTGGGATACCACTAAGGTAAATGTATGGGACCCTGGAGAGGTCAGCTTTATCTTGGTCAGATAATGAGGACTGTTGATGCGAATACCATCAATATATGGAGGAGGATCAGCTGAAAAAGAAACGGATGAACGCTTTTCCCCCATCAGAAAATCCCCCAACTTGGTAAGCAACTTAGCCATTTTAGATCAGTGAATTTTGCCAGGGAAGTCAGATTGTTGGTACTAAGGTTAGACTCTAAGCAGACCTGAGTGATTTCAGAAGAACAGAGTCTCAGGATTTAATCATAAAAATGACAGATAATCTTAAGAGCAAGTATCACTTTCAGGCGAGGGACATCTCACATGTCAGGACACAAATTCTGCACTTGAAAGGACAGCTTAAATTCCATGACTTGCAAGAACTGCTTATCCATCTCCCACCAATGTCTCTACTCAAAGACAACCTATTATGATTGTAATTGAAATTTAAAGAGGAGGGTAAGGAATGTTTAAGCACTGTTTAAAAAAAAAAATCTACGAGGATTCTGTTCCTTCTCTGTTGGCTGGACAGTTCTGGAATACAAGCTAACAAAATCTTTGGCCACTGAGTAAAACAAGACTTTAAAACACATTAATTTCTTTAACTAAACCACACACACTTTCCCTCTCTCTCTCTCTCCCCCCAACTCTGTGATCATTACTCAAATGTAGTTGCATCCTAGTACCAACGCACATTTGGTACTTATTAGAAACATTCCAAATATTTGCTTTTACAAATAAACAATGTAATTTGTTATTTGGTCTCTAGTTGTTTTTTTCCAGACTTCATTTCAGTGAAGCAGGAACGAATCTAGCCAATTATTTCAATAGGCCAGGATCAGGTCCTTTTATTTTCTTCTACAAAGAAACATGGGAATGGGGAAAGGCTTAATGTAAAACAATGAGAAGCTTAGGAATAGGAAATCTCGGCCACACTGACAAAGGATTAACCTGCTTTATTCTCATTCCATTTTAACAGATGGTAAAAATAATACAGCAGCCTGACCAATCTATTTCCATGGAAAAAAAAGTTTTAAACAAGTTTGAGCTCGCAAGATTAAGAGTTTATAAAAGAGTTTGAGTAGCGAGACAAAACTTGTGAATCATCTGGTTCTCGCTGGAAGACTCAAGCACAACTGAACAATTCCCTCCACTATACAAATGTGTTTGGTTTGCCCACTTAATGTTTTCAGTAAGACGTGTAAAATAAGCACTGCTACAAGTACCAGCGACACCAGAGCAAGTCTTAGGCTATAAGAAGTAGATGCTTTAACAAGATCAGCTCTTACAAAACCAGATGATGGTTTGGTCAGGTCTCAACAACTGCTTTCTGCAGAAAGACAGCTTGGATTCTAGGGGAACTAGTCGTCAGAGTTCACTGAACAAGACCAGAGATGAACAATGCAAATCCTTAGCAGCCATTCCAATAGGAAAAAAAACCACAAATTTTTCTGGTGAAAGAGCTTTGAAAGCTACTCTCTAACTGTTGCTATTGCTCGTAGCATGGCAGCTACTAGAATGCGACCCTGGTTCTAAAGAGGTTCCCCATCTGTAAAAGCGACAGGCCAAATCCTACCCGTCTTAGGATGCACCTTCACTGAATTACTCCAAGTGATATTTTTACAAAGATCTCTGCTTGATGTAAATATTATTATTTACATAATAAAAATATGGTATTATTAGCTCTACTTTAAAGTTGCAACCTACCCTATCCATTCAACCTGGGCATTACCTTTACTTCCTGTGTCTCAACCTGTGTTTCAGATCTGCTGTCTTGAAATAAAACATACATGGGTTTTTTTTGCAGCTACAACAAAGCTCCAAAAGCCAAGCCCCTTCTCAAGGTGAGTAGAATCTGACCTATAATGACCAAGAGTAATTGATAAAATCTGAACATCTAAATGTTTTTCTTAAACATTCCATACCTGATAACTTTGAAATATGTTGAAGTGTTCAGCTGTATCTCATGGGCTTGCTTAGGTACTTTACTAAGCCAAGTTCACAGAAAAATTAACCTTGATTATTTTAATTTAGTAGAAGCTGTAAACCTTGAAATAATTTCACAAATGTGGGAAATAATTATGCCATAAAGTAAACAGAAGCACAACATCTGTTCCCTCTAAGCATTAACTACTACCACTGCAAAATAAACAGAATAATAAAGAAAATGCTGCAGCAAAAGTGTCAGCAGGACTATGCAGACCTCTTAGCACACTTCCAGCATGTACAGCTTGGTTCAGTCCTTCAGCACAGACTGTTGAATGTGGTCAAACAGAGCTAACAAACTGTTTTAGAAGACTGACTTCTTAGAGTGAGGCATCTAGTTTTAAAGCAAGTGCCTTTCCTCTCCACAAAATCCTTTGCAATTCTTCATTATTTCTAACATAATGTACAATTAAGGTACACTAACCTGGATAATAAACTTTTTTGCCATCAGTCTTGTATACAACCATTGTAATGAATTCCCGATTGTGTGCAAAGTCATCCTATAAAAAACACAAGTTGAGTTGTACACTTCTGTGGAATGTAACTAATGCTTAATCAGAATCAAGTACACATTCTGTCATCCCCTCTGATCACCACATGGCATGATCTGATATTTGCATTTATTGAGATATCCAATTCTTTTCAAAATACTTGAAGTAAATAAACTACCACTTATTTCAATTATAACAGTTCAGGCCCCGGGATTCAAAGTTACTTCAGAACCTTTTTCGTGGAATATAATCACTTAGTTCAATTTTTACGCTGGGTCTATTTCAACAATCTTGTCTGTAGGTAAATGCTGAATTTAAAATGCATACATATACACAGGCAGGCATACCTGGACATGAATACATAAGCAGTAAATATACTAATAACAGAAATCTATACCGAAAGATTTCAGGAAGATGCTGCAGAACTCGTAATACAGAAAAAGGACCCGGCACCTTATCTGTGATGTGGCGGCTGAGCAGAACCCAGACAGCAGCACCGCCCTGCGGACACTGGACCTCTAGCTTGTACTGAGGGTTGTTGGCCAGGCTGTAGGCATCCTTCACCGGACCTTGCTTTGCCTCCCAAGTACTGCAGGTAATACAGACATGTTATTAGATGAGTGAGATACTATTTCGTGCTTCGAAAACTAACCTCAAACCCTACATATGTACAGAGCTGCCTATTATCTGTAACACAGTTACCGAAGGCTGATTTTCGACTGGAATCTATGACAGCAGTTAATAATACAATCGTGTCAGAAGTATTATCCTACAACTTTATAAAATTACTTCACTCAATACAAGTGTGATAATAAAATATGCTAAATACAAACAGCTCGTTTTTGTTGGGTTTTTTTTGTCTGTTTGTTGTTTTGTTTTTTTTTTTTTTAAATGGTGACTGCAACCACAAAAAGCACAGAAAAACATGAACCATTCGAGAAGCCCAGGCTACCCCATTATAGTCACGATTGCAGAAACCAACAGCAAGTGAAATACACCTATACTTTTATAACTACAGAAATCCATATACAAGCTATGGTTGGTTTCAGAAACTTGCCAAATTTTTTTCCTCTAGTGTTTTACTGAGGTAATTTTTATTTTAAAATTTTATCTGTTTCGGGTTTGGAATGTTAAAGATCTTTGAGGTACCCTATTGCAAAATCTGCCTGTTGCCTCATGAACTGTCTAGACAAGGAAAATACAGTGTGAAAAAAAAAAGTTCTGATGACTGAATGCAAAGTGTGCCATGCTGGAAACAGAAGTGGATAATACTATTGGTTAAGTCCCACTGACCCTCCCACACTTAAAACTGAACAGCGTATGTGAAAGGCTGCATTATCAACTAATCTTCATATTATTACCACCATAATTACTCCACTTTTTATGGTAATTGCCACTGTGCTAGGCATTTCCCTACAAAGAGGTACAACAATCACTAATAATATAAGGAAAGACAGACTAACAGATGAGTTTTGAGATTAGCATACACATTACCTGATCTTGCTACATGACCACCGTGTAGAACTAATTTGAACACAAAGATGGAAGGAGCCTTTACAGATAAGCTCAACAGTTGCACTATGGATGAAGGAGCCTGTGCAAAGAAACAGTGTGGAAGCAGTGGCAAAGGGCAGCATAGTGGAGTGGGAAAATAGAGAAATCCTTGCTTTTGAAACCCAGACACATACTTATCCCCAAACTGGGTAACAAAAAGACTGAATGTGATGGATACTAGGTAGGAGACAACTATTGTGTTCAGAAAAAAATCAGCAGGCAAGGAAGATTACTTATGATAACTACTACTGGTAAAAACCAGAATTAAACTACTCTGACATCAGTGAATACACCCTGTAAAGACAACACACACTGCACAAACAACTTGCAACTGGCCAGGAAAATGAATTCCAAATAAAAACTAGGTCACCAAGTGCTGTCTGGTCACTGCTTAAAGATGGACTGTACAAAAATCTGATTTCTAATCCAATACAGAGATGTGGGACTGAGGTGAGAATCTGATTACTCAACCCTAGGTTCACAGCAGCACCACAAAGGTCACCGGAGTTTCAACAATGTTACAGAAATAGTCAAAAACAAAGCCTGGGCTGAGAATTTAATAGTACAAGTCAGGCTCAGGAGAGCGTGGCTGGAGCTCAACCTCTAGCTCTAACTAGGAAGAATGCAAGGAAGGAAACATCAGAATATTTAGTGAGATATTGACACAAAAGTTTTATCTCTTGGACCAACCTGTGAATACACGTAGATTCTTTGAAAAGACTTGGGTTCCAACTCAAATAAATAACATCATAGTACTGGCACAGGTCCTCCCAGGAAATCCAGAAAATGCCTAAAAAAGAAATGCTGTTATTGTTTCCTTACCAGACACCTTGATTTTACTTGTTTTTCAAAAGTCTCTTTCCAGGCAAATGATATCGCTTATATAAACCAACATTTCTGTAAAACTTAGTAGTAATGTCTGCATTGCCCAAATACCTAAATTTAAACTTAACCCCTGAAATAAACACACTAAACCAAGAAAAACAAGTTAGTCTCTGCTCATAGTCAAAAACTTTCTGAAGCTGTCAGAACGTTTTCATTTTCAAGCACTAAGCAGAAGGTATGAGTGAATCTGTTGTTTTGAAGAAGACAACATTAGGTGATTCTGACCTGCATTCCCCTTTCCTAGGTTTCTGAAAAAAGTAATACCACAGTCCCCAGTTCAACAACCTACTTCAGTAGTCATCCAGAACAATCATGTATTCAATCAACATGCGAGTACATTTGAATGTGTTTCTAAGACACTTCCTCATCCCACACCTGTGTGACTTGCTTTGGCACTCTGAATCTGCTTCACCTTTACAACATTCTCATGCATTTATTCTAATTCTCCATAGCTCCCTTAATTGCAACTCCAACCAACAACAGTGCCTGCAAGCTGAGAGATTCGTGATGAAATGAACTCTCAAAAAGATAATGGCCTTATAACTCAAGCCTCTGACACAGGCAGGTGCAGATCTTACAGCACTAACAAAAAAACAAACCAGTCATAATAGCTACATGCTAGCTACTAGATAATAACTAGCTATTAGGCAACAAGACCAGATTGTAAATCCAGTCAGAAGAAACAACTCCCTTAAAATTACTGATGTAATTTTATTTAAACTTCAACTACTCGATGTTACAGATATAAATTCCTTACTAAGTGAACCAGTAAATAAATAATGAGCTAATCTCTTGTAACTGTGACCAAGCCAGGGCTGCTATTCTTATATTTAAATCAAAAGTCTTCCTTATGCACTCACATGAGGCTTATCAATCAATGCTATAATTTAATGGGTTTGGATGCATACTGCTATCAAAATAAAGCAGCACTAAACAAAGGGCTCCCTCACAGAGATACACAGAGAGTAACTAGGATACTATAAAAAGTGCAGACATCTCTTTCTGAATGTAAAATGCAGCTTCTGCAGAATTTCTAAACTGCCAGCAACCTGCCCTTCCACCAGCAAACCCACACCGACTTTCCAAACGCTACACTCTGCTGCTCCCTAGGGAAGATGGGATAGAAGAACACTGGGCACCATTCCAAGGGGTTTCTCTGGACAGTGATGTAGTAGTACCACTATCTCAAAGACGGATCTCAATCTACCCTTACAGCTGGAAACAGAGTGTATGCAAAGATTTGTTTATATGTCTATTAATGTAATGCAAGGGGAAAAAAACCCCACTTGCCTCCAGCGCGTAACCTCAAATACAGGCAAGAGTAATTTAAATACTGATTATAGTAAGCATGTTGACAGATATTTGCAAATTTTGGAGGAAAAAACCCACAAAAAGTCTACTCACATATTAAAAAGCAGCATTACACAGCTTATGGTCAGAATGTTATCTTTGCACTACACTCCCCCATGCCCAGATACCAAGATAGCAACACTTAAGTAAGGAGGTAATTTCTTATCAATGAATTTGAGATATATTAAACAGTGCAATTACTTAAACCCCAGACAAAAATGAAGTGACAGACTTGAACGCAAAAACCTTTCCTAAACTTCTGTGCTATTAAGTTTCTACCATTTGAGCTTAAGCATTTATTTCCACCTTTCTGCAGGGATACACCTCAAATATCTGTATTATCTGAAAAGATAGTGACTTTTTAAACCTTATTACCATTGTCTATTTTCTGAGCTGTTCTTGGATCAAAGTTCAAGTATTTTTGTAAATCTGGGGTCCAATTTCTTGTGTCATTTTCACTGTATCGTCCTTTCCAACGCAAGTGGCTCCAGGGATTTTTCAACTGAAGAAATCGAAGTCCCTAAAGAAACACAAAGTCAAATTGCTGGATTCATCTTGTCTAGGTAATTTTTATATTTATATATAAAACATATATATATTTATATAACATGGAATATGGATCAATAGATTAAAAAAAAATATTACAGCATCATTAAGCTTTCTGGGATTTCCCAATGGAGCTCAAGACAAAATAAACTAAACTATAGTAGCAATTGGAGCAAAAAAAATAGCTGCCCATCACAGACAGGTTTCAAACAGGCATTTGAAAACATCTTCAGTTTTGCTTGATACCTTATATTCTCTTATATCCAAGACAGCATACGCATGGGTTGGAACTAAACCCCATTTTTCTCCTTCCTCTTCAGACATCACCCCTGTTGCTGTTGTGATAAGGACATCTCCCTTATGAAATCTGTTCAAAAAGAGGCAAAAAATAAACTTAACTAAAATACTGCAAGTTGCAAGTTAATATTTCCCAGACACTGTAATAGTAACTCATAAGAACTGAGTTCTGCAATTGCTCTGAATTGCAATTGTTGATTTTGTAACAATTATTGTAAAAAAACACCAGCATGTTTCCCAGCCCATGCTAAAATCCAAGTACATACTCAGCATCCCTAGATAGCTTACAGGGTCACTGGACTATGGATCAACACATTTTCAGTCTAGCACAGGTGAACAGTAGTGATGCCATAATGGCTAGATCCCATCCTGATTGCAGTCACACCTCCAAACTGCAGTGCCAGAATATCTGAAAAGCTGTTGACAATCAACTGTGAGCTCTTAATCAACTGCAAAAGCACTGTAGAAAAAAAGCCACACTCGATTTCATCATGAATCAACAGAATATCCCCTTCCTACTGCACTGAAATGCATAAGAAACTGGCTGCACAAAACCATTTTGAAAGAAATGAAAGTACTTGGTAGCTGACATTTATAAATTACAGTATATCTTTCACCATGAATAGAATTGTTGCAGTATGCCTGAAGATCAGTTCAGACTCCTGCAGTTTTGACAGACTTTTGCTGCTCCTCTAGGAGATTTACTAATGGGGCATACATAATATCCAAGATTTTGTGATATGATTAGAAATACTATATTATATCTGCTTGCTAAGCACAGCAGATCAATGCAAAAGTTCTAGTGAACTGTATGGGAACACAGAATATATTTCCTTCTATTTTAAAAATATTTTTAACTTGTATATTGGTTCCAAGCTGCTGTTCTCTGACTCTGTATTTAGTTTTCTTCATCAAGAAATGGGCTATTATTTTTTTTCCTCAATTACACAATATATTACTCTTCTGTTCTATCAAAGCCATCAATATCTCAATATTTCTTCCTCCAGAGAGCATATGGAGGTTTTCTAAAGCATAAACATGTAGTAGTACCAAAATGCTATCGAAGGATCTGTGATGAATGTACTGCTTTTACAGTGGTAACACAGCTACAACCCTGCAAGCATTTTAATTACTCAGGAATGAACAAAATTCTACCTCTGATAAAGCATTCTGAAAGTACTATCTTTGTTGAAAGCTTGATTGTCAGAGTGCATAGCAATTCTTTCAGGTATCCAACCAGTCAGTGCATGGAGATCAATATTCTGAAATGCAAGCATTCAAAAGAAATCAGAATATATAATCCATCTATAAGCATATGGTGTCTGTACACAAATTATAAAAGCGCCTTGAAAGAAATCAAGTACACAGGTTACGATATAGCTCTACACATAAAAGGTTCAAGATTAAGACTATATTAAAAAAAACAAACAAAAATTTGATTAGTTTAGGACATTTCCAAATAGCCTCAAAAAAAAAAAAAAAGAGCTGGAAAGTGAACTGATGAAACAAACTGGAATTTCAGAGCAATGGAAGCATAAAAGAATGATCAATCGTGCTCAATTCTACGATGTGTTCTATTTATTTAATTGATTCACAGACTTTTAAAGCACAGTCTCACAAGCCCTGTTCAGAACCTTGCTATTATATATGAATTTTAAATAATTTAAGTTTTACTTTTAAGGCTCAGGGTTTGGGTTTTTTTAATTCTTTTTGGTAAAGCTGACACTGACATGTATTTCCAAAAAAAGACACTTTAATCTCCCCATTTCATCTCCTTGAAATATTGCTTATTCCCTTTTCGTTTGGTTTGTACTCCTCAAAGTAAAAGTAGAGACTATAAATGCTTGAAGTGTCAATAACCACCCACTGGTGGGTGGGAACTTGAGGAATTACAAGTACAACACTGTCAGTAAGTAACCCTGATTATATAAGGGAAGTATAATACAGTTGAAAGCAGACGGGGCGGGAAGGGTGGAGATTAAATGTCAAAAGTCAAGCTGTTTTTCCAGACAGCAAGTTCGAGTAGGACAACGGGAATAAAACACAGCTATTCTCACCAGCTTCTGCCCTCCAAAACAAAGCAGCCCAACACTGACATAAACATACATAGAACATATGCTACATTTACTCCTTATACAAAGCCACATTTGTCTCCAGAATCATTTTTCAAAAGGTGATGATTACCTAGTATACCCTCCAAGAATGCGATTATCAAGACATCAACTAGAATGCGATCAGCACCATGAAATAAAAAATATACTGTTAAAATTTTAAGGAATTTTAAATTAAAATCAAAAATGCTTCCTAAGTAATGAACGAAGATAATACGGGCTACTCATTTCAGTAAGCTGTCCCTCTTTGAAAGAATATTTTGCACATCAGTTTAGCTGCAATACAATGACTATTTCTTCAGTAACTACATTATAGGAATCCAATATGTATTTATGTAAATGAGTGGAACAATCTGATAAACCAGCTTGCACAGATCAAAGTACCTGCTCCTCCTATCAACAGGTACTAAATGACTAGCCTGTTCCTTTCCCAGTGGGCTCCCCTACCCAGTGAAGGAGAACTGCCCTATTTATTGAATGACAGCTAGAAATCAAAATCAGCAATATTGTTATGGGAAAAAAAAAATTACCTAACACTTTCACTTAGACTCTATATAACTCTATATGCAGTCAGAGAACTAAGGTCAACTCTGCTCATCAAGATGTCTTGCTCATTCTATTCTGATGGAATAAATCTCATCCAAGTACAACTAAGCATATTTGTGAAACAAAGAAATAGTAAAAAAAATTTAAGAAAACGTCAAACCCAATACCTGTGTCTCCAAGCAATTTACTTATTCACTAGAAGGAAAGCTATTTGACCTAATATTGTTCAAGTGGAATTTTTGCCTCTTAAAAATAATTTAGTACTTACAGAATTTGATCCAGGAAAATCATATCCTCCCATGACCTTCATATAAGCCTTTTCTATTAGTGATACCCATAACTCATTCTTATTGTTAGAATAAGAGCAGAGAAGTTCCCCACTATGATCAACAGGTAACTGGTCATCTATGATTACCTGTGTGAAATAAACAAGTGAAAAATCATCATAAAGCTAATAAATTATTTTGGAAGTATTTCAAAAAATAAAGCCAAACTCTCATTAACATACAGCTTCTCAGACAGACAGATCTGACCATCACTCTTACATGTGGACACCTCTGTCACTCCTGCAGTGGTTTGCCCAAGTGAACAAGAAATTCTATCGCAGGTTCTTACTGGGTGACCTGCGATCACCTACCCTGCTTTCCCTTATGTAAAATGGGGATGATGACCATATGCTCTTGTAACTGAAAAAGGTAGCCACAGAAAAGTTCAGTGTAATTACCAGCATTAGAAAAATGAGAGAAAAGCCTAACAATATCCCTCACAGTATGGACTGTGCTTGGTAGCCAGCAGAAAAATAAACATTTATCTATGAGGAAATCAATTACTTGTCACATCACTTTCATAGTCTCTACTTCAGATTTAAATGGATTCTCTCTGGAAAGGAAAAAAAACCCAACCCAAAGCAGCAGTTGTGAAAGTATTAACATTTCCTCTTTAAATTAGATAGAATGTATTTGGCATTATTGCAGATTGTTATTGCAGTATTTGTAGTGGTCTGAAACAGTTTCCCAGAACAGATGTTTCAGTTTCACCTTGACATTAGTCCATTACAGATACAGGCTACCAAGAAATTACATTTTCTAGTCAAATCCTGTCTGAGCAGGAATGAATACTCCTTTTCACTGAAGAGCAAATGGCCATTCATCCTAAAAAAGGCATCCATTAGGAGATATTTTGGAAAGAGTATTATGAGCAAGGCAAGTATATAAATGATACTTCCCTGAAACACTCTTTCAGATGCCAGAATTTTGCAACTCAAGGACCTCCTGACTCTGGGGTCATATATTAGCCATGAATAGCCTCAGGACTTTCCTCTCACTCCCCCGCTCTGGGAATATGACCACTCAACTTTTGAACTCCCATAAACATTCATCAATCACTATGATTTGCAATAATCAATGCTACAGTTAAGTACTATATGAAGAAATACATTATTTCATGCCCTTTATTCACTGCACTGAAAAGAAAATGAAGCTGTTTTCCTGTATCTTCAGGCATCTCCTCCCCTTACTAAAAATCTGTGGTCATTTTTAGTCATTCCTCCATAGTCATGCCATTCCATGTCTATACTCTTTCTGGACATCCCTCTCTGTACTTTTTAGTTCTGTAACTTCCTTTCTAAGATGGAGTGGAAAGCAGATTAATTGCACCCCCTATTCATAAATATGGGATGCATAATTTTATTCCTGGGTGGTTTTCATAATTCTTTTCAGCAATATAGATTTTTAAGGCTACTTTCATGAATGTCTGTAGAAGAAATACTTACATTCTTTTACAAACTTCACAATCAAAATTCATCTCAAAAGGTTTAACAATTAAAAAACACTTTCCAATGAAATTTATCTAAAGTTTTTGCTATGCAGGCGTAGCTTCAGTGAAGCAGACCAAGCTTTTAAAATATATGACTTAAACAGTAACAGTATTGAGTCTCCGCAAAACCATTTACCTTTCTAGGTACACCATTGATATGAAGCTTCACCATGTATTTGCCACATGGATTATATTCTGGTTCTCCCTTCTTATTCTGAGGGTAAATTATACTGTTAAGAAAAAAACAAAATCAATGAAATTGTGACATAAATGACTTGGCTGTACATACACTGATCACTATAAATGTGGGATTAACATAATCTACTCCTGGAAATTTACACTGAACATAAATACGGAATTTTTCATGAAAAGAGAAACTCATATTTAGTAAAAATGATAGAGATGTTTAAATAGCTTTTAGTTTTCAATCCTGGCTCTTGCTGCAGTTCTCTGCTTAATATAGTAACAAAAAGAACATAAAGCAACCTAATTGTTTCTCCAACAGAAGCAAGGCAAACAAACTTATCTTACCATTAAACAAACGGTATTTAGATATCTGTAGTATAAATACAGTAGTTGCCTGCCAAACATGTGAAGAAGGAGAAGACTGCAGAACTCACTGCTATTGAAAAGAACACAAGTTCAGTCCTAACGAGTACAGGTTAAAACAAAAACGTTAACACCGGTTTGGCAATGGGCTCCCAGCAGTCTGCCAAACACGTGCCAAATTTATCACAGGGCGCCAGTCAAGTGCAACTAAGATAGTGTTGTTAACATTAATTCTGCAATGAGATGCAAGATGGACCACCTGTTGCACAACAGCTGGCATAGCAAAGTAGGAAAATAAACATATAAAGCACTGTAAGTAAAATTTCTATTAAAAACCAAACAAAACCTTCCAAACTATTTATCCCTACTCAAAGCACCTGTCAAGCTAGACTCCAGTGTCTGTATACAACATCTATATAAAGCTGGTTTCCCTCTCAGAAGTGCTAAAGCCACCTGAGTCCTCGGGAGATGAAGGTGAAACAAATGCTACTTTTTACTGTGTCCAACTGTCAGAGAACATCTTGCAAAAGCTTGGCAGTATTAAGTCTGAAAAGATCTTAGGAAACAACAGCTACACACCTTGTGATCAATTTTTTGTTATATCTTCTTTCGTATGCTGCACTGATAGCAAGTGACGCCACAAAAGAACAATCTGACACTATTGTCTGTAAAGAAAAAGAGGACATTTACTAATAACTCAGATACTGAAGACAAATAGGGTGTGTGAAGGGAAGGAAAATGGTCAGTAATTCCCTTCAAAAGGGAAAGGATTTGAACCAAGACAAGCAAAGTTACTATTAAAGAGGAAGGAAATGCAAGCTTGCCCAATATTAGGCCCCTACAGAGCAAACCAGAGTTAGAATTATTAATGACAATCAGAGGCAAGTGCAGATACCTCAGCATCCACTCATAATTACTCCCTCCTCCACAAAGCACACTGTATAATATAAACCATATCCAGTGGCATAATCTATTCCTGATTTCAGAATAGCTTGGGCCATCCAACTTAACACTAAACAAGACACTTCCACTATTCTCAATGGGCCGCTGCTTCCCGTCAAATAAAAATTTAAAAAACTTAAAATCTTTGCCACAGAGTACAGCTTGCCGTATTTCGTATTAACTTCACCACTATTTCTGGAAAACAGGATTTTCCGCTGGAATTCAAATTCCGATTTTCACTTCCACTGCTAACATGCCTGTATATTCTGTGTGGAATCTGAAGAAATACTATTTTCATTTAATCTCAGGAGAGCCAGGGAAAGCACTCTCACATTTGGGGATTCCTTTCCGAACAAGAATGTATTATATCCCCTGCAATAAACTTCTAACAGCACACGTTTCTCTTTAGGAATAATTTACCTGCTTTATGCTGAAACTTGATACAGTATAAATCATTGTAGGGTTATTTGTTATGTCATCTGGTCGCACCCACTTGGCAAACATCGCTTTCTGTTTGGGAGATAATGGTAACTTCCCACATTTATCACTAGATTTAAGAGAGAAAAAAGTAGAAGTAAATCAATATCAGTTTAGAAAAAGCTTTTCATGGTATGTCCAGTCTTATACATATCTGATAGATGGTGCAAAATTATGCACAGAACAATTACACATCTTTGTTTACAGAGCTGTAAAACAATTTCAAAGAACAATACTGCTAAGTTTGTGATTTTTAGGGAAAAAAAGCCGAAATATTAAAAAAATTAAAAATAAAACCCAAAAGCATCCTTCAGACAGGACTGAAAAGGTGAAGGGAACCCCCAAAACACCATCTACACCAACAGAAACTCAAATTCTTCACTTTATTTCAATGTGATGAACTAATAATAGAAAGTTTCTTTAGTTTTGAAAATACTGAGGCTTGATTGACAAGCCTTCAGTGGAAAATTGAAAAAAAACTTAACACATAATTATTGCTCATGAATGAAGGTCTAGCAGCTACATAATCACTCTTTCTTGGAATAGACCTTTACAGAAGAAACAGCTATCGCCTTAATTTTACAGGAAACTGAGGCAGAGGGAGCTCAACTCATTAGCATCCAGCAGAATCGGGAAATGGACTCAAGTTGCCAACCCAGCCCAATATTCCAAAAAGCCAAATATAGCTTTGTCCTTATAGGCCTGAAGACATAAATGCAAAAGCGCTACAGAGCAGGAGCAGCTTACATTAAACAGCTTTAAGATGAGACTAGAAGAAGGAAGTGGTAGTATATAAATACCTCTGCTGAAATTACGCTTAAAAGCCTACTTAAACAACTTTAAACTCTGAAGGCGAAAAGAGAAATACCAAATATGAGGAAACTTTGGAAATAGAACCAAAAATTCAGTATCTGAATTACACTTACGAAAATGGCATAGGGAAGGCAAAGCGTTCCCTCAGATCAACACTCATGAAAGGTACATATTCAATGCCATTAATTTTTGAAGTTTTCCTGCAAGTCATAAAAAGAAAAATAGTTACAAACCTATCTATCATCTTTCAAAGACTAAGTTCCAGAAGGTAACAAAAAAATTAATTTTTAAAAACTAACAAGACACAGTTCTTCCAAAACCAAGGCATTTTCATTTTCTGAAAATGAAACCACCACTTTATTTGGATTTGAAATATGCAGTACTTGATGGCTCAGTCACTAATCCTGCAAGTACATACCTGTGGATGAATCACCACACAAGTTAGAAATGATTATCAGCCAAAAACTTCTTCATAGTTCTAGAAGTCACTTTTAAAACTACTTCTGTCTAAACAGGCTTTCTCAAGTCCCATAAACCGCTCATTACAGACACTTATCCTAAGTTGACAGCAACTAACAATTAGCAACACTTAGATTTCATCTAATTGGGGCAGTATTCTGGAACACTTTGTCAAACAACAATAATAAAAAATACTATATGTGTTTACTAGTACATTTTTGACTAAAGCACACAGAACACTTTCTAGAAAATGGGAATCATATTTAAATGTGAATGTAATTTAAGTTTCGAACAAATAGTTAACTGAAAAAGGCATGCAACATATTTTAAAATCAAATGATGATTAAAGATGTGAAACAACTTGAAGTTCTCTTGCAAGACTTAAAGAAAACAAAAAATCCCCCCCAAAACAGCATGAAAAAAACCCAAACAATCCACAAAATTAGAAACATTCACTGCACAGGCACTAAAGAGCAAAAAGTGAAATTTTAATAAGGTAATTTTTAACCCTCTGCAACTTTTCAGACACAGGTACATTTCTATCTTTGTGACTATATGCTCAGTCCATTTAAGTCCCTTGAAATCAACAAGCAGACTAAATGTTTTATGATCAAATCCTGAACAGTGTTGAGCATCACCTCTGTTACAATCTTTTTTATTGCATGGGGAGGAGGGGGAAGGTTGAAACATCTATCAAACAATGCATTTATTTTTTTTAAGATATATTCAACAGTTTCCAAAATTCATGATTTAGGCTAAAGGTTTTATAGATTATTTGTAGCCTATTCCACCTGTAATAAAAATCAAAGCAAGAGGAACTGGATGTAACAAAAATCACCGTCTTACAAAATATTATGCTTCCTCAACTTCTAGTGAAGTTGTAGTTGTATAATCTATAAAAACATCTTTGTACCTTGGCATCTCAGACAGATCTTTCATGAACTTAGTCAGGTAGGCTATGTGCAACATACAAAAATAAGGCTATGAAAAATAATCCTGGCAATCAGCTACAAGAAACTGTCTTCTAAATACACACTATAAAGTATGCTCTGTGAATAAAAACCACTAATTACATTACGGTAGAGAACACAAAAAAATTATTAATGTGTAGATAATACCAGAACGGGGTTTGTAAGAGGTGTTTTTTTGATCTCTGTTTATACACCCCATACTTCAGCTATTTCAGTCTACTGTGTAAGATATACAAAGGACATGAGCAGAAATAACAACATTTTAGAAACACTCATCTTCAACTTACCGGAGTACTTCAATCTCCTCCGCAGTGTACCTCTGACCTTGAGGTTCACTAGCTTGTACTGCTCTTATTGTCTGTGGTTTATCATTTAAAGAAAAATCAGGTCCCAATGGAAAGAATGTTCTGACTGGTTGATTTGGTTTAACTGTAGTTGACTTCTCCTTCTGAGATGACTTTGACACAGATTCCTTCAGTGCTTCTGCTCTAAAGCAAATAAAAATGCATTCTGATTACAACAATGATAAAAATAGTTACGGTTCAACTTTTTATTTACTTGGTTCATATTCCCACATAGGTTAAATCGCATGAAACAAATGTCCAAGTTGACCAATACCACTTTTCCTAAGAAAAATCAATATCTGATGCCAGTACTTCTTTATTTTCCTGTTATAGAATAAATTAAAATAATAACACTTCCAATTCATACATAAGCTACTTCTGGCAGGGCTTATCATGTTTTTGTTGCCTTTAAGTTATGCTAATAGGAGAATTTGTCTAAGTGTTCATTATCTGGAACCTCAAAACAACACCACTAAAACACAGAGAGAGAAAAATTATTTGTGTCCATTCAGGAGCCACAGTCTGTTGTCATTGCATAAAGCTGCTGGATAGTTACACATATGCATAATATGGGGGCTTTTTTGAACACAGACTGAGAAGTGCTGAAAAACAGCTTATACTGAAACTTAGCCCAAGATAATCCATTATTCACCATTGTACAGCTAATTAAAAAAGTTACATCAAACTTACACTCGTGTAACTTGTTTCAGATACAGACTCCACTCCACAAGATCCACTCATTCCCAGTTTCCAAACTGTCTTCCTTATGAAGGGATGCTGACACCCTGACTTCATGCTGGCCTGAATTCAGCATTTTTACAGAAGCCAAAAATTGTAGTAGAGTACTCCAATTTACATCCCTGAAGACTGAAGCAGTGCATTGGTACTAACAAATATACATTCCCTTCCTAATTCTGCATGTCCCAAGATTCCCAGAGGGGTTGGCAGAACAGCTGCTATATTCAGTTGTATAGCAGCTGGCAGCTATCTCCAAGGAGGAGGACTCTGCCCAGAATCCATACTCTTTGCAGTACAGGACAGACACATTAGACTGAGAATCCAACTCAGAGTGCGCTTACCCCTGACAGCAAGTATGTTTACTAACACTGGCAATACTCACCTATCCAGTGCTTGTCGAGCCAGCTGTTTCAGTTTTGATTGGAGACCTGCTTCTGATGTTTCAGTAGCCTTAAGTGTAATACAAAAGAAAATGCTACACACTCAAAAAACCCCACAGGTTTTCTAGGCTCAGCTTGTCAATTTCCACACTTACAGTTTACAGTTAACAGTAAATAGCTATTCTTTCCAATTCTATTTTGAAATTAGCTAATTTTAAAAAAAAAAAATATCTCAGCATAGAAAGCATACTATGTAAGCAAGTATCATTTTGCTGTTCTAGTGAATGTTCATGGAACAAAAGTGATATTTAAAATTCTCCAGCATGGGCAACATTGTATATGCAAAAAACCTGCCAGAAGAATTAACTATATTAAAATACTATGGGACTAAGACAAAAACAAATGTTAGGTATACTACTGAGCTTAGATATGATCCAATTCTTTTCCCCAAATGAGTCAAAAATAGTAATGGTAACTTAGCAAAAAAATAATTTTGAATGTTTACTTTCATAAAATACAAACAAACAAGATTGCTTGCAAGTTAATAATCTTGTTCTTGCACATCTAGGGCAAAAAATAATCTATGTCAGGACACCAAACCAGATTACTAAGAGTGCCAACTTCTGTTCCCAGTTGGGAGGTCAGCTGTAACAGTTTACTCATACAACCATTTCATGCTTTTGTTTTCCTTTACAGATGAAGAATGGCTACACTACTGCAGCTAAGCGATATGCAAGAGACACAATATGAAGTATGACTTCTCCTGCGACACCCATAAGCAAGTTTCAAGTTCTAGCTTTGTACATTGACCAATTCTCCCAGATCAGCTAGGTAAACTGAGGAAACAAAAGGCAAGCTTTACTTTCATGCCAAGAAACAGGACTAGAAACACCCTCTATAAGCAGCTATTTTCATTTGCAAATAAATTACACTCCAGAGTTCCTGGTTGGAAAAGACTTTGAAAGATGTATGAAAGTAAGCAGTGAGATGAAACACCAGCAGACTCATCTAGGAGTCAGCCACAGAAAAGGAGGAATGGCTGCTCTGAGTACTTCAAGGGCAAGGAAGAAACAGATCTCTACACCTGAACATACTGAGGAGAAAGACAAGCAAAGCTTCAAGATAGCAGAGTTCCTTCAATCTTCTTTCATCCTGGGAAGAAGGTACTTTTTGATCACCCTGAGGGATAAAGTCTACCATCATCTTAAAATAATATGCTACTCAAGAAACTTCAGCAGTATCTGTACCTGATGAAATACCCGATAAAAGCAGTTGTTAATATCAGATAATTTCAGACTAACTTCAGTATATGTAAGTAATATTTGCATGCACTGACACAACAGAAGGAGGAACATAGCAGAGGAAAACCAGTATGCTGCTGCAGTATATTTTATGTAATAGACCGAAAATGTTCTGCTCCAACAGCTCATGTGGAAGAACTAGAGCAGTTCTACTGGCTCTTGATCTGGTTGCACTGTATCACAAGGGTTTTTTAGCATACATAAAACCAGTATATAGAATATGAAGAAAATGAGATTTTACTCTAACATGCAGCAAAAGTAACATTCCCCTCCCAACAACCCACATATATTTACATTATAAAAAGGGAAAATAAGGGAAAAAGAAAAATAGACTTGGTGGAGTTACATTATGATGGTGAGCTCTTCCTGTAAGAAGTTAGCTAAGGCAACTGGACTTAAGGGGAAAAAAAGCAGTACCTGTAATTATATTCTCCATCATTTATGTAATGGCCAATTCACCCTTACTGTTAATTTCAGCATGAATTGAATTAACTTGTAACAGCTTTAACGTTGAGCACTTAGTAATCAAGTCATATTTTTACTAGTTTTAGCATCAGCAGACTGTTTTGTTTTCAGAAAGTGTTACAAACAAAAATTTCCCTTAAATTATTTCTTTTAATGTAGTCAGAAAGTAATATAGCTGACATGTTAGCAATTCATCTTCAGTTTTAACTGTTTTTAATTTCTGTTTTAGTGTTGCATTCGCTCCAGGGCAAAAATTAACATGAAAAAAGTTCCAGAATATTTCTAGTTTTTAGTATAATCCACATTATACAGGGAAAACACATAAATCACAAGTCCCCATAAATTTACAGTGCTGAATAGCAACATAACATAAAGACTAGAAGAAACACTAAAAAAACAATGGAGAAAAAAGATTAAAAAAAGCTTTTAGAAATACAGGTACTCCATTTTTAAGTCAGCCTTTAAGGGTCAGTCACTGTGTAAGTGGAAGAATTTCTTACCATCACATAATTCCACCAAGTTAACCTGTAGCTTAACATACTGTTTTCAAACAGAGTTCCACTGCTTCTGTGTACAACTCTACAGCTTCTTCTGCATTGCCTTTATCATCTTCATCAAAAGCTTGTGTAACTAGGAAGTGAGCACGCTCCAAGTCCAACTGTTGTTTTGACTTCAGAGGGTCTGTGTTCTGTGACTGAACTAAAAGAAAAAGGAAGAATTTAGTTTTCTACAGCAGCAAACACAAAAAACCCCATCCTTAACATGGTACTGAAGCACTAGCACTTCTAATCAGATGGGTAATATCTATTTTTCTCAGCTGGAAACAAAATCTTTCTAAACTTTGCTAAAAACATCTTTGCAGGTAAAAGAACGCATCACCACCACCCCCCTGAAGCAGAGATACTCTCTCAGCGTATTTCACATGACAAATAATGTAAATTAATTCTCTTCCACACTACATTAAGGACAAGGACGCTTAATTATGTAAAATATTGCATTATTTGTGAAAAAAACATGACCTATGGTAACAAACAAGTTCCTTTGGTGTCTCTCTTGTTTAATACCTTTGTTAATGATCTGAAGGAGAAGATGGAGTGCACCTTCAGCAAGGCTACAGAGCCCACCAAACTGATTCACTCAAGGACACGGCTGCTATTCAAAGGGACACAGACAAGCTAAAGTAATGGGCTAACAGGAATCACAGAAAATTCAACCAGGACAAATGCTCTGCATCTAGGGCAGACCAACACCATGCAGGTTACAGCTCTTTGGAGCAGGGCCTGGGGTCCTGGGGATAGCTGGGTCAGCACAAGCCAGCAGGTCCCTGGCAGCGATGAAGGCTGACAGTGCCCTGGGCTGTGTCAGCAGGAGCACAGCCGGGAGATGGGGGAAGTGATTACCACCCTCTACTCAGCACTTAGTAGGCGATCTGGAATACTGCATCCAATCTAAGGTCCCTAATGATGGCTGAGGCTTTTGGGAAGCTGAGGGAGCACAGTTTGTCCAGCCAGGAAGAGAGATGGCTTTGGGGGCACCTAATAGCAACCTGCCAGTAACTGTGAGATTATGAAAAATTTTTATTCACGCTCTTCACTGCGGTGCAAATAAAGGGAATGACAGCTGGTGGCTATGAACTGAAACAGGGGAGAATTCAACTAGATATATATTAAAAAAAAATTACTGGAAAGACAGTTGCACCCTGGAACAGGGGCCCAGAGGCACTGGGGAATTTCTGTCCTTAGGCATTTTCGGGATCTGAGCAAACTGGTCCAAAAAATCCATGTCTACCATGCTTTGAGCAGGTGATTGGTCTACAGACCTCCCAAGGTCCCTTTTGGGACAAATGATTCTATGATTCTAACTGAAAATTGCAGATGTGCAAAAATTTGAGATTTTGGTCTAAGCACAAACAACTGAAACTGGATCAAACAAGGAAACCTTTATGAAGGCAAAGAGATCTCTTGCCCTCTCAAAGTTAGCTATTCTACATAAATACCAGAACCCACTTGCTTCAAATCCATCATGCAGCTGAGGCTTAGATGCAAATGCTGATTTGTGGATGATCAATTTTTGTTGCTGTATTTAATTACTTTCTCAGGTTTGCTTTGCAGATGTGGTTCCTAACATTATTTAAAAGGAAAGAATACCCACACCCAAGTGCTTAGGCAGTAAGTCTCCGCTTCATTTCTGATGTATCAGAATTAACAGCACTGATGTGCTCATTGTATTTTTGGTTCTTCACAAAGGACAAGAAAATTAGAATGAAGAAAAACAGAGCAAATATAATTGACACATATCTCACAACACTGAAATGCTTTGCACTCAATTAATTTAAGCAGAGGTTTAATTAGAAAGCTCCTTACCCACCTGCTGAATGGAGAGCTTGAACTCTCTCCAAGTACTCATTTATTTTTTCTTGAATATTTTCCAAGTTGGACCCTGCCATCCCAGCATAAATCAAGGCCTGTGCAGCTTCCTGCAGGGAGAATTTGAAACAAGGTTAATGTTTGCTGCTTAGAAAATTACTTTCTTTAAACAGAGGGCTTACAGCAGCCATGAGTTGCATGAGAGCAAGTCCCTACAGCTGCAGACTCAGTGGCTGCAGGGAAATTTTGCTGCAAAGAACAAGTTAAAAGTTATAAACGAGATCATGTTCAGTTTCTCACCCATGGGACAACCTATAAGACTATCAAAAAATCTTCTGAGGTTTTGTAAGGCCAGATCTTAGGCCTGTCTGTATATTAATGTACAGAATTAGGAGATTTTTCAAGCATGCAATGAAATCAGTTAAATAAAGCTCACAAGCCACAAACTGCCTTTTATTTTTAAAGCTGCAGATTTAAGGGGGGAGCGAAGTCACTTAAAGTATTTGCATTTACTGTGATAATATTGAAAGTAAACCAGAATAAAAGCTTTTCAAAATCAAATGCACAGAATTTTGCTTTAGTATTTCCTTTTAGTATTACTCAAAGCTATCAAGCCTGGAAAGACTATAAATTTGAAGCTTCCTACCTCTTCAAATTTTTTTTTTTAAATGTTCATATGTACATGACACATTGGATATTGCTGAAAGTCTACTTCCAGAAGGGAGTATAGGCCTCCAGCTCAGAAGCACAATACAGTATTCACATTAAGACTTTTTTTTCATGCTGCACAAATCTATTAAGAAAAACTTTTGCATAAGTTGCATAAGCTGTCTATCCATTCACTAAACTTATGAAAAACATGTGAGGTTTGGCAGGGCTGTAATAAACACTTGGAGATGACACAGTCTCAGAAGTGTGTGGAGAACTGAAATCTCACAAAAATGAGGATAAAAACCTTACTTTGTCCTCATTATTGGCATGGAAAAAACTCCACACTTTTGTGACAGTGCTTGTCTTCCCAGAAGCAGTAGAAGAGAGGAGGTGGTCATGTAGCAGGCTGAGTATGTAGGAAGCAGAACAGTAACTAGAGAGCTGCTCCACAAAGACGGTGCTCTGAGAGGCTGCTCTGTATACCGCAAGCACAGAGCCATGGCCAGAGGCTCTCTTGTGTGCTTTATGGCCATGATTTTTGTCAAGCTTTGCAGTTTGCTCCCATACACATCAGCTAGTTTGCCCAAGCTTAAAACTGATCCTGACACCACCTGTATTTGTTATCAGGATTTTCACTGCCAAGCATCACAGAACTAAGTACCACACACTCTCTGTCAACACCCATCACCATATTACATCACAAAATATTCACAGCAACAGAAAAGTAAATAGAAGTACCGCTCCATTTATATGTATCAAATAACTACCATTAAGGTCTAGCACACAACTATTTTTTGGGGAAAAGAAGTACACTACAGATACTTGCTCAAAGGATGTATATATTTGTCTGTGACATAACACAAATACAGACTGACAAAACAGGTGTTGTATCAATGCTGTCTACATACAAAGCAAAGAACAAATGTAGATTTTCAAATCAGTGCTGCAAAACCAATGCATAATTGATGTTGCTTCTGTGATTTCAAACACTACTGTTTTGCCTGCTTTTAAGACGTAAACAATGAAAACAGTTTTTTAAGCCTTTAAAATTAAAATTAAGCCTTTAAAGGACTGAAGCAGTTGACCAACTGCATGCAGAACCATCACGCCAAAGATGGATATACAATTCAGAGTTAGAATTTATGATCTCTTCAATACTACTACTGTTCTTTGGCATGAGCAGTGTGCCACAGTCACATTAAGCTAACTACTGATCATCAGCTTGCAAGTTACTAAGTGCTGGTCAATACCTAAAGTCAGCAAGTTTTCAGCAGTTTTGCTGAAGTCATCAGGTGCCCAAATAAGTTTCTGACATTTCTGTAGAGCACCATTAACAAGTTACCTTAAGCCAGTTCACATGCAGCCTTCCTCTAGGGATCTATCAAAGTGACACGGTAGTAGGAAGTGAACAGCACTTGCTAGCCCTAGAACTCCATTCAGACAGGCCTGTTGTCTGTTAGCAACAAACTGTCACATTTCCCATGTTTCATCCTTAAGGTCAAAGTTCTTGCAGAATCCAGTTCAGCACTCAAGCTTTCCCATGTGCTTATTAATTGCACCAGAGAGCTGTGAACTGCTTAGAGCAGTGGATAAGAAAGTTAGTGATGGGCCAGAGCCTATTTGTGCTGTCCAAAAAACCGCATAATGTACTGCCAAAATAGGAGATGATATATTGTAACTACTCTTGTTTAATCTAACATTGATTAAGCAACATCTGGAATGTCAAACCTCTGTAGGCTAAATCATACCTAAAGAATTCTGCTTTAACAATATCTGGTGAGTTTGCTCTCACTCCTCCTGATTGCAATAGGTTTGAACACGAACACCAACACCTTCACATATAATCTGACATGAGTCAATACCTAATCTTGGACTGCCAAGTCACCTGTCTGAATACCAAAAATGTTAGCTGCAGTTGTGATTCAAAGCTTTCCTATTATGTATCAGTGTCCATAAATGTGCTGCTCCATGGCCCAGCTCTTGCATACCAGAAAATGTAGTCTAGATAACACTCTTCATCACGTGTAGCCAGAATGTGTGGCAAGAATGCCTGAGATGCATTTTCACACTTAGAAAGAACATCACCCGTGTGCTGCAAGTGAGAAAGATTTTCCATGCACTGTACAAAAGTGTACAAGAGTGATTATTTGCATAAAAAGATGGTTCTCTCCTGAAAAGTCTTTGACAATTTCGTCCAATATAGTGAGAAATGTGCTGGAATAAAGTAGTACTGTGCATCGCTGTCAGACCCTGCACAGACACTGCTGCTGAGAAGCACAGAGCCTATCAGCATTATTATGGGCAACTAGAACTTTTGCATATACTTTACATAGACAAAATTAGCTCACTCTACATTAAGACACCCTGTACTCATGAAGTAAAAGGTTGACTACAGAGTTTCTAGCAAGTTAACAGAACAGAATTACTTTGGCAGGATAATGGAATACGTGAAATGATTAGTGCAACAAGGATAAAGTAAGCTTCAAAAAGTAAAGCCCTTCTCACAGGTGAGAAGCAAAGCCAGTGGGAAGCAGAACTTTAACGTAACTTTGCAAAACATAAATCCAACAAAAAGAGGCAATTTGCACAGGTGAAAAATGCTTAATGGTTGCACAGAAGGCACTAATTACCAGTAGTAAGTCTATAGATAATGGGCAAGACACTGAATCAACCTCACCACACCCTTGGTTACACCAATCTGAAGCTGTATTGAAATAATAAAACTGGATCCCTAATAGAATATTCACCTGTGGTTAAAAGCGAATCACTGGTTGCTGGTGATCTGAAGCTAGCTTACTACTGAGCAGCTTGTACTTAACCGTGTACTTCTCTACTTATTTGATGATCGATTACACAACAGAGCAGTTTCAAGCTGCACCCTCCAGAGCTGCGGTATGCCCACCTGCAGTTCTCCAAAACGCTCAGTACTGACATCTCCAACATAAAACTGAACAGTCTGTCAGGCCTAGCGGGGGTTGGGAAGAGGCCTGGAATGGAAGCGGAGCGCCAGCGGGGCAGAGGCGGTTTTAGTCCGGTTACAACGCAGCTTCCCGAGAAGCACCGACGGGGCTGCGTCTCCTACAACTGGAAGAAATGCCCGCACCCACTTCTCGGGCACAGTAGCTGCGGGGCTACCCCTATGCCCGTCGGTGCACAGCAGCGCGCGGGCACTGCTTGTTCCCACCTAAAAATAAAATGCAGGGAAAGCGCCTGTCACAACCCTCCCTGAAGGACGCGGCTACTCCGGAGATACCACAAACTTTCGACGCGCACGCCCGGCCTTCCGCTTCCTTCTCGGCTGGATCCGCCACGTCCTCCCCGAGGCCGAGCAGCGCTCCCGTCTCCAGGCCGTACCGGCCAAGGGCGGGCAGCGGCGGAGGCAGCGCACACCGGCCACAGCCGGCA